CAGGAGCTTCTGAAACTTGTTAGTTTTGGTGTTCCTCAGCTCCAAGTGCTAAAAATAATAAGCGAGCGTGTAGGGCAGTACGCTAAGGGCACGCACGTGCTCCGAGGTGTACCAGGAGGAGGTTGCCAGGGTACTCGAGACAACCATGCCCGACGGAAATCACGTTTCAGAATCGTCCCAGGCAGAGGGAGCCAAACTCAGAGCAATCCTGGATCACACCATCTGTCTCAGGCCCACACACAAACTCTCAGTGGCTCTGCCGACGTTCCCTGGTGGAGGGAAGGAGCCTGCTTGCTCCAGAAATAAGCCCACGTGTGAACAGGCGGGTAACGCAGTGAGAGTGACCCGGAGCGGCACATGGAGCGAGCCAAGCTGCAAAAAGGGTGTAACAGATTGCCAGCACGTCATCACTGCACTGGGGAGGGGAGTCAGTATGACTCACTGGAGACAGAACTCATCAGTGCTCCAAGCCCCCAAAAACTACTTCAGTTCTCAGGTTAGTGGAAACTGGATTGAGAAACTAAGTGATTTCCCTTCCTTGCATTCATAGAATCATAGAATGGTTAGGGCTGGAAGGGACCTTCAAAGGTCATCTAGTCCAACCCCCCTGCAAGGAACAGGGATATCTCCAACCAGATCAGGTTGCTCAGGGCCTCGTCCAACCTGGCCTTGAACGTCTCCAGGGATGGAGCATCCACCACCTCTCTGGGCAACCTGTTCCAGTATTCTACAACTCTCATGGCAAAAAAATTTTTTCCTAATATCCGATCTGAATCTACCTCCCTCTATTTTAAAACCATTACCCCTTGTCCTATCACAACTGGCCCTCCTGAACAGCCTCTCCTCATCTTTCTTGTAGGCCCCCTTGAGGTACTGGAAGACCGCTATAAGGTCACCCCGGAGCCTCCTCTTCTCCAGGCTGAACAGCCCCAACTCTTTCAGCCTGTCCTCATAGGAAAGGTGCTCCAGCCCTCGGATCATCTTCGTGGCCTCCTCTGGACCCTCTCCTCTGTTTGAAAGTACCTGCTATCACGCAGCAGAGCTGGGGAACGCACCCTCCTGCTCGGTGGCGGTTGAAAGGCAGACTGAACGCTCCGAAGAAGCTTGTGATCAGAAAAAGCAGAACACTGTCTGTGGATGCAAAACCCATGTGATGCAAGCGTGTGTTGGGTGCATTTCAAAGATTTAGGAGCAGAGCAGTGGGGTTGCTGTCAGGCACGCATCAGATAACGATTTTAAAAGGGAATAAGATGAATGAAGAACAGATTAATTCAAATCCTTCCTTCACATACATCTCAGACCAAACAATCAATTACAGGGCCTCTCAAGATTAAGAGAGATTTCTGTTCAACAGTTTAATTCCACTTTTAAAAAAATGCCTGCTGGGAGGGATTTCACAAAAGTTCACTACCAACACTTTCAGACTCATGACCAAGCAAGGAACCAGCATTATTTGCATTCCCTAATACAGTTCTATTTAATTACCTTCAGCAAAACACTACAAAAGCAAGGAAACTAGAACTGAAGCCAAAAGAATACAAAAGATGAACACAACAGGGAAGTTTATCTGGAAATATTCAATGCTGAAAATCAGAAAAGTCTTAAGTGTTTGCTTGACGGGCTATAGAAACATGAAGGCAAATGAAACTAAAGTAACTCAATCTAGCATCTTTTGGAAAAGTGCTATTCTCCAAAAACTATTTCCTTAGCAGAAGAAAAGATAAGCCTTTCTTTTCAGAAAGGCTAAAGAACTCGATGAAACAAATTCCTACTTCGGGCACGATTAAGTTCCAAAGCCCAGCAAACACCTCGGCTTTAAAAGAGAGCTGCAATTGTAAAATTGGGGTATTTTAAAGTACGTTTTAGCATTTTAAGTAGCAAAGGGACATAGTCATGAGAAACAGAAATACTCATTGAAAGGGACCTCTGAAGATGTGTAGTGCGACCACCTGCCTGAAGTCCACCTGTTGCCAACACTAGGTCAGGCCAACCATGATAATCACCCAGCCATGCCCTGAAAACCTCCAAGGATGGACATTTAGCAACTCTCTCCTGCAGTTCTCCAAGCAGTAAAAATTCAACCAGAATTCCAACATGAAGACTAATTCCGAAGAGACAGCATGAAGTTCTGGAAATAATTAGAAAACCCATACAAAACACCACCTGTATTTCCCCAGTTTGGGAAAGCGCGATTCACACTCCTGTCTTACTCTTGGTCAATTTTCAAAATTTCGTGTTAGAACATCTGGTGACACACAGCTCTGCGATAGTGCCATTCGAAACACAACATACTAAACGTAGAAACAGTTTCCATCAGGACTGGACTTTTGTTCTTATCAAAAAATCTGAACATTTCAGAACAGTAGACATAGCTTAATCTTTCAAATTAGTCATCTCCACTTCTCAGGGTCTGGAGACTTCCCAAAAGGGTCCAAGGTTTAAAGAATCAGAACTTTCCAAATATTTGGACAATTAAAAGTGCCTCATCATTGAGACTAAGCACCAATTTCTTTTGGAAACTTCAACAGTATTTTAAATATGGGATTCAAGCCTGAAAAATGTAGAAACCCCCAAATGTTTATTCTCAAAGAAACAGTCAATTCCCTCTTTGTAACGTCACGATGGAAGTGTATTATTAGTGACTTTTAAAAAGAAGTCTTTCCCAACAAGCCCTTAAAAGCTAAACCATTAAGTACGGCAAAAAAGTACGTGCGTGATTCCAGCCCATCTCCAACCACTGCAAAGAGCTCAGACACCAGTAACTGATTTTCCTTTTCTGTTTCCCAACTGCAAGATACAGGTTAGTCTTCTCAAGGGTGCAAATCCTTTCGCTTAAGTGCCTGCACTCAAAATTTAAGCTACACATTAAAAAAACCCATAAAACCAAAAGAACTCCAGCCAGCAGCTTCCACAATATACTTAGTTCAACTTAAAGTATATGAAAATGCAACACAGCAGGTTCTAACGTGTTCCCTTTTTTAAGTATTCTTGTTAGGTTTCTTCCCCAATCCCTTGGCTAATGTTTCAGTCATTAATTTTTTAAAAGAAAACCAGGGCAATACCTGGAAGAATTTTGAGCTCTGCTTCATCGCTGTATTTGGGGGTCCCACCACTTTCAACGACGCAGCGATACAGCCCTCCATCCGTGTCAGTGGCGTTGCTAATAATTAGAGCTCCACTCGGCAATTTGAACACACGATCGTCCAGAAAGACCGGCTGACGATCCCGCTCCCACCTCACGAACGGAGCCAGGTCAACATTGACTTCACAGTTGAGGATTGCACTGTTTCCTTTATACACGGCTGATGGCTCTGGCTGACTGGTGAACCTGGGCAGGCCTGTAAATACAAAACAGAAGAGTTGAGAAAAATAAAAAAATCACGAGGTATTCCGAAGATGACCGCAAAGTTTTGAAGCCCTAGTCAAGATTGGTGAGCCTAGTTTAAAAAAAAAAATGGTGCTGCTCTCCAACTCTTTCAAAATCTTAACACTCGGTAGCACAATGCTAAGCACAGCCGGTGGGAGGGCAAATAAAACCAATAATCAAAGTATTGATTTAAAAACAAGAGTAGTTCTAGAAACAAGCAAATGTCGACAACAGAACAGAAGTTTTTGGAGTCTTCAAAAATGGGAGGAGACAATCAGGTAACCTCTGCTCACTTCTCCAGCGTTGCTGCTCTCCTTAAGGAGTATTTAGCCCAAGAGTGGGAAAAATCAAGATAGGGTCTCTGCCCGGTACATCCAAATAAATCCAGTTCGACCCGTGTTCTGTCAGAGCCACTGACTGACCTGCAGTGGAACACAGATGTCCTCTAGTACTGCCTCGAGAGAGAGTAACAAGGAGAGGAGAAGGCTTCTTGCATGCCTTCCGCTCAAGTTCACAGCCTACACCCACCTTAATTTACCACCTACAGGACTACTCACAGTGAGGAGATTCTTTCCTATCAACTTAGATTTCTCATCTTACAATTAGAAGTTTAGCAATTAAGAACTTAAGCCAAAAAAGTTGAAATGTGTTTTCTATGACTTCGTCACCAGCCATGTCTAAGTAAAGGTTTAGCTTCACAGCCATTTAACCAGACCATGAAAAGGAGCCTGAGGGCCTTAAAGGACCAAATCTCACTGAAATTCAACAGAGACAGGATATCCCTTTGAAGATTTCACTGCAAAAAGCCTTACATACAGCACCGTAAGGTAAAAATTTTGTTCTTATGCACATATTTCTCTTTCTCACGCTGGTGAATCTGAGAACTGAGTTTCTCCACAGCGTAAGACAAAGGTAGGGCTGCCACGCCGACCCAGCCGCGCTGCACGACGGATGTGCCACCTCCTGAGTAAAAACATTCTCTAGAAATACCCAAGGTCCACCGAACGCCTTCGTGTGTGCTTTGGGGGGCCATGTCCTGGTGGTGGCAGTGGGGCAGCTGCCAGGGTGGCCTCTGTGAGAAGAGGTTGAGGCCACTCCGTGCTGGACACGGTTGGTTCTGGTTAGTTTCAGTGGCCCCACAAAGGCCACAGGTGATCCAGCCAAGAAGCTGGTGGCACATCTGGGAAAGCACATCCAAGAAAGGGGAAAATGCTGCAGGAGTAAAGTGTGAGAAACCACCCCGCACCAGCCAGAGCAGAGGAGGAGGAGTGGAGGAAGAGCAGCTCCAGGTGCTGCCCCTGGGGCGACCAGGGTGGAACAGGAGGCAGAAGAGCTGGGAATGAAGGAGGGAAGTTGGGCCTGGGAAACGGGAAGAAGGCCAAGAGAAGTGTTTTAGTATTTACCTTTGTTTTCTTACCACCCAACTTTGCTTTAATTGGCCAGAAATTCAATTCCTTTTCCCCAATTCAAGGTTGTTTTGCCCATCGCAATAATTGGTGCATGATCGCCCTGTCTTGTCCCACAAACTTTTTCATCTTCTTTTCTCCTCCCCTGTCCTGTCGAGGAGTGAGAGAGCGGCCAGGTGGGCAGCAAGCAGCCAGCCAAGGTCAGGCTACCTCCAAGCGTTTTCCATGACAACTTCCCATAACAGGATACACACCGGATCTTCCGGCAGAAATACTAAGTCCAACGAACGGCTTCGCATTGAAAAACATTATTGGTGAAAGCAAATGGTTCAACAAAGGCAGCAGCAGACAGTAAGGGGGAGGAACGCGGACGAAGCACGGGACAGGAGAAAAGGCCTCCTTGCTCTCCATTTTCCATGGGCAGGAGCTGTACTACCAGCTCTGTTTCGCAGCTGGCACAGGGCTGGTCGTGCGGTCCACACGCGCACGGGGCAAGGCACAGCTTGCTCGCTGCAGTAACAGCCTCAAAGTAAAATTTTCATTCTTTGTTACGCTTGCACTTCAAATTAATATTGTCATAGAAACGGCCCGTCGGTACTCCTGACATCTTACCCTTCTCGACAGCGCACAGCTTCGAGTACGTACTACGACTTATTTCTTTTTCTTTAATGTCAGTACACCGCGTGCCTTCGATATAAAAGATGGAAAGTGGGACTCCAGGTTGTACAGATTAAACCACCCTCGTACAATTATTCGGGCATGAGCCTGCTGGGAAGCAGTAGGCTCTGGGAACCTTTGCTTCAATGCTACTGCACACAGCCAGAAAGCACGGAGCAGAAAATACAAACACGAGCTCTCTTCGAAGGTGACACCTCATTGTCATGATTATACATGAATAAGGCTGGGACAGTTTAGGTCAGGTCTCAACTTTCCCATTTCTTTTAGCAATCCTAAGGGTGAAATCCCTTACCCATTATCTTCTATTTTCAAAAAGTTGACTTAATTGGGAAAAAAAAAAAATAAATCACATTTATCTCTTGTGAAGATGATTCTTTTACGTTGCTTTAAATACTCATTTCCAAACAGGTCAACCCAATATTTTTACAAGTCTCACTCAAGATGTATCTATCAAAAACGCACTGAGAATTTAACAGTAATATGACCGATCTTTTCTATATTTTTTAAATTTATTTTTTTAATTATCTAGTTCAGTGCTTTGCAATTTTTTCTTCCTTTAAAAAGGGAACATAAACAATCACTCAGACCAAGGACTTGATGGTGAAAGTCAATAAAACATCTATGCATGAAAAGTACTGCACGGCTCTTCAGCGAAGGGGAGGAAAAGGGACGGACAAGTTATCTGCCTCTTGGGCCTCGACTTCCTGGGAAAGTCTATAACCACATGCTGCTTACTGGTTACATACTGGTGCCACAACTCTTATCTCCTGCAGTTTGCTCTGTCCACACTCACCATGTCCCACTGCCTACGAAAGAATCTGACATGCATTGCTTCAGTTAAAAGGTACTTCATAATTTCCAGCTTCAATCCCTATTTACTTTCAAGGAAACACCACAGGGTTTTTTTCATTTGTTTTTCAAACTGTCTGATCTTCACTCTCCAATTTTCATAGAAATCTTTGCAGAAGCAGCAAGAAGCAACATCTGATTTCATGTGTTCAGGATTTTCCCACTGGAATGAAAAACTTCTTTGCTTGGGCTGTAGAATTCTTCACTATTAGCACCCACTTAGGTACAAATATTAATACATACTTTTCATAAAACTTTTGTATCTCTTTCTCCCATAGAAAAATAAGCCTGAGCCAGACCAAGCCCATCAACTCTGGTGCTCTGCAACACCAGCCGCACACGAGATTTACTTGAGCAAACCCACCAAGCACCACCTTCATATCTGATATCAAACATAAGATCTACAGCAAAAGACCAAAATCCACAGACTATCACGTGCCACCACGTCACAGATCAAGAACATGAACGCAGCGAGAAGCACGAGCACCCCTGCTCTCTCCCCCCCGGGGCTAACCTCTGGTGCTATAGAGAGAAAACAAACTGAATGTAAAACATTAAAATACTTGGGAGGGTGTACAAAATCAGAGACCTTCCCAATCCTTCGGAACAGCCGGACTGAATTCTAACACGTTACACTTCTACCATTTCTAGCTCGCTTCTGTTTTGTCAAGTATTTCTTCCACAACCTTGGACGGGTCCATCTCCAACCATTACGTACTTTCCACCCTCTTGGAGTTCTACCTGGAGGCTCCTTTCACAACTTCATTCCGCTGAGAAGAAAGTTTCTTGTTTCCCCTCCCAGTGTTATTTACAAGCAACTTTTAGTCCTTTGATCTTGACCTTGTTTTGGTATTATTTTGCAACTTTGATATTTATCCATTACTCCCTCCCTCTAAGGTATTCACATGAATAAAAACCATAGCTTCTTTCCACTTTCCTTCTGCTTAGTTAATGAAGCTACAATCTCTAGTTTCTTTTCCCCGTTCCCCTAACCATCCTGCCCATCTTTAAAGACTCAGAATCGCAGAATCATTTGGGTGAGAAGAGATCCAGTCGGAGCAGAGTCAGTTACAAGCTCAGAGCAATTCACTCAGCGATTTGTTCAGTCAGATCTTGACAATCCCCATGGATGGAGACCACACAACCTCTCGGGCAATCTGTTCTATGACATGACTGTCTTCACGGCAAAGAACTTCCTCCTTAAATCCAGTCAGAACCTCTTTGGCTTCAACTGATAGCCCATGCCTCTTCCTCTCCCACCACACAGCGCCGGCAGAACAAAGAGACAACAGACACACTGAAATGCCTGTTGTAATTTAATATCACGGACACCTACGTAAGCATAACAAAATTGCTTTCCTGTATCTACTGAAAAGACCTTCCCAAAAGGTTTCACAATCACATCAGCTCTCTGCACGCTGTCAGGTTACAGTCAGTCCTATCACCCACCAACCAGCCACCTTTCCTCTCAAAATCACCAGTCCCTCTGCCCCAGTTTAGTACCACACTGAGATGACGGCTGTGCCTGTGTGACTTTGCATGCTACGCTAATAAGTCACACCGTTATTCAGACCACAGCATCATCTTGTTCCTCCTGTAAGACCATCGAGGCCACAGCAAGAGTAACAAGGTCTCCCCAGTTTACCCACTTGCTAATTTTGTAGGTACAGCCTCTGTTCTTACAGCAAAGTGACTGATGACGATGTTAAACGGGATCTTTCTGAAGTCTAGATGCTGAGGTATCTTCCCATTCTGAAGATTTCCTTCTCAACATAACCCATTAAATTTTCATAATTACCTCAGATTCTTATCAATCTCAATATTCTCATTTAAATTTCCATCATTTTGACCTTTAGCCGTTTCTGAGGAGGTGGCGTATCAAAAGGCTGTGTTGTGGCATGCCCACTGTATCGCAGTGCTCTAAGACACCGATTGCTTCGTCGGGAAACTCAGATGCAAACCGCAGACAAAATCCATGCCACAGTTTACCTTTCTTTCCCCTTTCCTCTGTCTTCATTACCCTCGCCTTCAAAACCCC